CTATTTCTCTCTTTTGACCTAATAACATTTTAAAAATATATTTAGGTATTCTGATACTGGTTGTATATACATATATATTTACAATTGTTAAATCCTCTTAACTAATACTTACTTTTTTCATTATATAGGGATGTTCTTTGTCTCTGTTTACTGCTTTTTTCTTAAAGTCTATTTTATACATTTTGGTTTCCATTTGTATGGAATATCTTTTTCTATCACTTCACTTGGAATCTACATGTGTCCTTTAAGGTGAATGGAATCTCTTGTAGGCAGCAGAGAACTGGGTCTTACTTATTCAGCAACTTTATGTTGCTTACTTGGAAAATTTAATCCATTTATATTGGTAATTATTATTGATAAGTAAGGACTAATTCCTGATGATATATTAATTGTTTTCAGATTGTTTTGTAGACCCTTTGTTACTTTTTTCCTCTGTTGTTTATCCTTGTGGTTTTGTGACTTTCTGTGGTACTAAGCTTTGATTATTTTCTGATTTGTATATCTACTATTTCTTTTTTTGTGGTTACCATGGAACCTGACATAAAGAATTTTGTAGTTTTGGGACCAGCAGTTAGCGTAATGGCTATGTCGCTGGACTCCCATGTAGCTGACTGCGGTTCAAGTCCTGGACCCGGTGGCTTAAAACTCACGCTGGGCGCATGTGCGTGCGTGCCCAAGATCCTGAGAGGAGAATGGAGGAGAAAGGATTGCGGCATGGCCATCCCCCCTGGGGGGTGATTTCTCACTTTCTATCTCTATATCGCTCTCTCTCTCTGGCGAGTGCATGCGCCCTATAGCGAAAACCTCTCAAAAAAATAAAAGAAAAAAAAGAATTTTGTAGTTTTAAATAGACCATTTTATGCTGATAACGACTAAACTTTGGTGGCATAAAAATTCACAAGACTTCTTACCCTGCCCCCACAGTTTATATTTTTGTTGCCTTACATCTTTGTATATTGTGTATTTTTTACCCACTAATTATAGCTGTTTTACTGATCATTTTGACTTTTTACCTTCATACTGGATGTTGGAAAGATTTACAAAACAAGCACCATTACAGTAAGAGTATTCTAAGTTTTCTTGTGAATTTATCTCTACTGGTGGATTTACAAACCACTGAATTTAAACAAGGAAAATCAAGCATTAATGGTTCTGTATTATTTGTTTCTTGTACTCTGGGATACTAGAATATACAATCAAACATTTGTACAAATATGTATTATAATGTTATTAAAATTAGGGTCTTAATAAAATCATTAGTTTATTCTCAGTAGCTCAGCAAAAGCTGTTATTCTTTATAATTTTATTGAAATTGAATTTGACAAAAGATGCTTGCTTTTATTTTACTACAAGTGCTTACTAGTAAAGAAAGAGGAGGTTTAATCTTAAAATCTTTATCTCAGTGATACCACTATAGAATTATTTAAAATGTGGGGACCAGCAGATGGCATAATGGTTACGTCACTGGACTCCCATGTAGTGGACCGCAGTTTGAATCCTGGACCTAGTGGCTTAAACTCAGACCAGGTGCATGTGCGTGCATGCCCAAGATCCTGAGAGGAGAATGGAGAAGGGATTACAGCATGGCCATCTCCCCGGGGGTGATTTCTCTCTTTCTGTCTCTCTATCTCTCTCTGTCATTCTGGCAATTGCATGCGCCCTATAGCAAAAACCTCTCCCCGCCCCCTCTAAAAAATATTTAAAATGCATAGTTTTCTGATTATAGTTTTATTAAGAATAAAATTTGAAAGATGTCCTTATGTGAGCTATATCACATGAGAAAGAATATCTTTTCTCTGCTGTTAAATTGCTTGTATAGAGGCGAGGTATACCAGTAGCTTGTAGCTTGGGACTTATATCCAGAAATCTGTATGGAAAGACTTAGGATAATACCAACTAGGAAATTTGTACAATTTAAGCATTTTAAAAACTACTCAACTATATTAATACATTCTTTTAAAAGAATTAGACTATTACTAATAAAATTTTCTTTGACCATTACCCTATAATCTGTCATCAGTTTGAAGTCCATTCTTCTAGAACTTTTTCATATTTTTATATTTATGTGTGTAGAGGTTTTTTTTCTCTATTAAAACATAGGGTATGGCATGTGTGCGTGTGTGCCCAAGATCTCGAGAGGAGAATGAAGGAGAAAGAATTGCTGCTTGCCATCCCACCTGGGGGGTGATTTCTCACTTTCTATTTCTCTGTCTCTCTCTGTCTTTCTGGCGAGTGCCCACGCCCTATAGCAAAAACCTCTCAAAAAAAAAAAAAAAACCAAAAAAACAATAGGGTATTGCTTTATATGAAGATTTTACTAATTCATACTATTCATACTGTTTATTTATAAATATATATTTAAAACTAAATATATATTTAGTTTTAAAATTTTTTGATTACCTTATGAAGTTATACATAATCACAGTTATGATGCTGTTGGCTTTCAAAGCTACAACAGAATTGCATAGAGGGAAGGTTAAGAACAAGTAGAAGTGCCGTGATTCAGCTGTGTTTTTTGAATAAACACTAAATTTTTATAAGCTGATAAGTTATTTCCAGAATTCTGAAAAAGTTGATTTTGACTATTTTTACCAATTTTATCATTCACTTATGGAGGATTGGACTTTTAGAGATCCTTCCTTTGCCATTCTGCAAATGCTTGGTTCCAAAATTCATTTTTGTTGAAGGTTAGAGATAAAATTTTAATTGTTTTTCCATATTAGGCAGCAAGTTATTCCAAACTGGTTATGAATACTCCTTTTTTTGCCTTTTCTGTAATATGCCTACCATTGAAATGCCTTTTCTATAATATGCCTACCATTGAAATGCCTTTTCTATAATATGCCTACCATTCTTTTATTGAAACATCATATTTCTTAAAACTCACTCTGGGGGACTGGCAGTTGGCATAATGGCTATGTCACTGGACTTGCATGTAGTCGACTGTGGTTTGAATCCTGGCCCCGGTGGCTTAAACTCATGCCAGGTGTGTGTGTGTGCGTGCCCAAGATCCCAAAAGGAGAATGGAGGAGAAGAGATTGTGGCGTGGCCATCCCCCACGGGGGGTGATTTCTCACTTTCTGTCTCTCTGTCTCTGTCTTTCTGGCGAGTATATGTTCCCTATAGCAAAAACTTCTCTAAAAAAAACAAACAAACAAAAAACAAATAAAAATCCTCCTTCTGTGCCAGGCACTGTTCTTATAATATGTGGATCTGTTTTAGTGCTCTCTTTTTCTACTCTATTGGTCTACTTAGGGATTCCATCGCAGCATCATACCATTTGTTGTTACATTTTTGTTTTTTATTTTGACTGGAGCTTTAGAGTATGTAAGAAAAATGCTCCAGTTTGCTTCCTTTTTGTCTTGCTGGTCTTGTGCATTTGTCTGATAATGTCATTTTGAGATCACTTACTCTCATTCTGTGAAAAGTCTTAATGGAAACTTGACTGGTTTGCATTCAATTTATAAGTTAATTTTGGAGCACTTTGACCTTCTCTAAATAAACTTTTAATTTCTTTGGGCTCTTTCTTGACAACCTATATATAATACTTGTATTTATATTTTTATGAGGACATTATTCTGTACTAAAGGAAAAAAATGAAATAAAATTCAGCAAATAGGTCACTGAATTTGTGCCAAAATTTATTATATTATAGATGAAATTTTTATGCAGTTACTTTAAGAAATACTATTTCCTCTGGGTTATTTATGGTCAAACATGTGAAAATTACAGGATTAAATAAACTAAAGCAGATTATTTATTTTAAAGAATTATTTATTTAACTTTATTTACTTATTTGTTTTAAATTTGCTGCAGGGCACATAGGCTCATCAGAGAGAGAGACACAGAGAGATAGAAGGTGAGAAAGCAAGCCACCAGGTCTGGGACTTGAACTGTAGTCAGCCATGTGGGAGTCCAGCACCTTAACCACCACACCACTGACTGGCCCAGAACTTATTTATTATGTAGGAGTTTTTGAAGCCTTTATGTGCTACTGTATATTGCCCACCTTTTTAAGACACCAAAATAATTTTGTTCAATATGTATACTATTCCAGTACTCTACATTGTTTATATAAATAACTTTGTGAAACACTATCATAGGCTGGTTTTTACTTTGCTGCAAATTCATCTCTAAGTGGAATAATAACTAGTACAGTTAATTCTGTTTTTAAATAAAATAGGTATTTTTATTACCATATAAATACTAGTAATGCTGCTCATGAAGCACAATTGGTCCTGATAGCTACTAAAGACAGTTGAATTATGATTTCTATATTTTAGCATACGTATTTTAATTATTAAAAAATCTGTAGGCCGTGTTACACACTAATTTAAAATCGGTCTCAATATCTTATATTTACTTGATTCATCATAATTGTTAATCAGTTTGTTAATTTTACTTCCTTAAGATAAAATCTAGCAATGATACTTATTAAGCTACCTGGAAGCAGATTTTGTGAAATATTTTTTTATTTGTGTCTTTTGGCATATATTTAATATGATACTGAAACAGTAGACTTATTTTTATGTGTATAAATTGTTTGGGTTATTAATTTGCTTTAATGAAGCTAATGTTAGTCTGCTGAACTGTGCTTTATTATTTTAAGACCTATTCTAGTTTGTTGGCCTTCTTATAAAATATAGTAAATCAAATGTTAAAAAAGAGAAAAATTGGTACTGCTGTAGTACAATTACAAGTAGAAATGCAAATCAAGAAATGAATGACCTTGTAATATACATACTATGTTATTTTGGCTAAATCATATTTTATGTTTCTGTTTAAAGTATAGACACAAAGCTGCATGTTACAAATTTTTAAGGAAAAGTTATATTTTAGTTTTAAAAATAGCTTTCTGTATTGGAAAAACACATCCTACTTTTTTGACCCAGTTCTATCTTAGCTTTGTTATTTATTAATAACTAGACATTTAAAACCAATCACCCTTTATGTTAGAGGCAAAACAAATGATCATTTTTGTATGTCTCCTTTTTCTTTAGAAACTGCTCTTGGCGCATTAGCAAGAGTCCTGAGAGAAGACTGGAAACAGAGTGTTGAGTTAGCTACAAACATAATCTACATCTTTTTTTGCTTTTCCAGGTAAGTATAAACATTATGAAAGGAAGGTACTAGTCTGCTGCCTGTCTGTGTCATTGGTTGGTTGTACATCACTGGTTCTCTCAGTCTTTCTGTGTGTCTGCCTTTGCTCTGCCTCTGAAGTCTTAATCCTGTTGTATTCACCTTTCTCTATCCTTTCTGTATTATTATGTCTTCCTTTTAGTCTACACTCACCATGTTTGTGCACACACACACACTCAGAATGGGATAGTACATTAGTTTAGAGTTGAAAATGTGGGATCTGGAGGTAGATTGTCTAATTTGAATCCGGGCCTCACAGTTTATTTACTGTGTGATCTTGGTTACATTATTTAACTTCTCTTTGCCTCAGTTTCTATTAATAGTGACACCCTTTTTCAGTAGTTCTTAGGACTAAATGAATTAAGAATTTAAGTAGAATAAAGCTTTACCCAGAGAAAGTGCTCAGTAAATATTATTGATAACAATAGTATACATATTTCTTTTTTTAAAAAAAAATTTTGAGAGGTTTTTGCTGTAGGACGTGTGTGCTCACCAGCAGGACAGAGAGAGACAGAGAGACAGAAAGTGAGAAGTCACCCCCCGGGGGGATGGCCACGCCACAATCCCTTCTCCTCCGTTCTCCTCTCGGGATCTTGGGCACGCACGCACACGCGCCCGGCGTGAGTTTTAAGCCACCGGGTCCGTGATGCGAACCGCAGTCAACTACATGGGAGTCCAGTGATGTAGCCATTATGCTAACTGCTGGTCCCAGTATACATATTTCTATAGACTAAACCTCCATATTTTTTATTTGTACACAAATGTTTTTAAGAAAAATGTTAATTGAGATAGTGTGGAAGGTTTCTAGCCAATTCTCAGAGAACTACTTGTCTCTAGTCTAAAAAGTGCCAGCATTGGCAAATAAACATTTATTGAATAAATATGTGACTAAATGAGTTGTCTAGGAAACATGTAAAATCTGATTACTAATGCTATACTGGTTTTGTCTGTGGTGTCAATTTTATAAAATAAGTAATATTGTTATATTATTGGTTTTTGTTAAATAGTAGTCTGAACATTTACTTTGAGGGTATCTGAGTAGTTAATGTGGTGGCTGATTACAAAAAATGTGTTTAATTTCTAACGTTTTAGAAATAGTTATATTTCAGGTAAAGGTAGTATATTAAAATGTTTTAAATACTCTTAAAATTTTAAGACCTCCTGGTTTACTGAGGCTATATTCATTTATTGAAATATGTATGTCAAATTTATTTTCTGTGTGATTTGTACCAGTGTTCACTGAAAATAAATTTCTGTTCCCAGGAGCAATTATTTTCTTCTTTAAAGATTATTTTAAATCTCTCCTTTAAAGCTTTTCTCAGTTTCATGGACTTATTACACACTATAAAATTGGAGCTCTGTGTATGAATATCATCGATCATGAGTTAAAAAGACATGAGCTTTGGCAAGAAGAACTTTCTAAGAAGAAAAAAGCTGATATCCTTTTAAAAGTGACATTCAATTGTCTGCTGCCTATGTTAACAAGCTTCAGATGGATTTAATAGATTTCTTTTTTCTTTTTGTCTTTTAAATGATAATCAAATTACTTAGGAACAATGCAATAGTGTGTTGAAGGTTAAGATGAAGATTGAAACTCAAAATGAATGTAGTTCTACATGCTTTTTGTCTTTTCAAACTTTGACTAGTTATTGAAGTGGAAGGCGCAAGCAAGTACTAGTGATATTGGATAGTTCCATGGCAAGTCACTAAGTAGCTACTAAAGACCTTTTGTTCAGCTGAAATCTGGTTCACCACTGCTGTTTATATGTAAATAATTATTCTGTTTGAGTACTAAAGTGACTTTGACTGGAACAGGTATAAGTTTGGGATGAACCTAGTTTAAAATTGTATTTTTTTAAATTAAGTTCTAAGGTCCAGTAGGTGGAGTAGTAGTTAAGGCACTGGACTCCAACATGGCCAACAGTGGTTTAAGTCCTAGCTTGAAACTCCCACGGGCACATGTGTGTGCTCGCAAAATCCTAAGAGGAGAATAGAGGAGAAGGGATTGCAGCATGGCCATCTCCTCCTTGGGAGTGATTTCTCACTTTTTTTGTGTTTCCAGTGAGCGCACATACCCTATAACAAAAATATATCAGAAAAAAAATTAGGTTTTATATATTTCTATTTAAGTACAAAAATTTTTCCTTACTAAATATAAATTTGAGAGGCCTATAGTGTGATAGCACCTATGAAAGGAACCTTAAATTATCTCTTTTATTTATTTTTTTTTTTTAAAGATTTTTGGTATAAGACATATGCCAGGGAGAGAGAGACAGAAAGCAAGAAATAACTTCCCAGACGGGGTGGCCGTGCTGCAGTCCCTTCTCCATTATCCTTTTGGGATTTTGGACATATGCATGCACATGTACCTGGTGTGTTTTAAGCTTCCAGATCTGGGACTCAAAACTGTGGTTGACTATATGGGACTCCAGTAATGAAACCATTACACCATCTACTGGTCCTGTAATTACCTCTTTTAACTTGCCTTGCAATGTAGGAATCTTTACTTCAACTTCTCTGACAAATGGTTTTTTAGGCTCTTCTTTAGCAATGCCACTGCTTATTGATTTAACCCATTCTGTGGTTTAGCATTCTATTTATTATAATATTCTTTTTTTTCAGTGAACTAAAGTCTACTTCCCCATAACTTCTGTCCTTTAGTTCTAGTCTTGCATACTAAAGCAGTATAAAGATATTCTCTTCCACATGATAGTTCTTCTCATATTTGAAGATCTTTATTATACTGTCTTTAATTCATTTAGATCTTCTAGATCAAAGACTTTGATTTATTCATATCTGTCCTGACATGACACGTGCAGATTTGTAAGCCATACTGGTTACTTTTTTTTTAAGCCAATGTTATTGATGTCTTTAAAAAGTAAAAGCATTATTCTTCTCTTGCAAAGTATCATGTGTTTAACCCCATTTTGTGAAAAGTGGACCCAATTCTTATATTAATTTTGGCCTCTAGATCCCCTGAGGCTTGAGTTTCATCTGAGCCAAGACATTCAAAGTAACTTCAAAAAGTTCATGGAAAATGGAGTTTAAATGGGTGTTTATTTTGGTACAAAAAAATTTAGAATTTTTTTTAATACATATTTTCCATAAACCCTTTGAAAATACCCCTAAAATAGGTTAATCTTGGGTATTCTATACAAAATCTCTCAGGCTTTTATTGTCATTTGGAACTTCAAGACATTATAAAATGCACGCCCACCCACAAGCTTTGACTTTTCTTAATTAAGCTCCTTCTATGTTTAGGAATTTTCTGTGTGCTAAAAACTCTTGTCATCTAGATTAGTATTGACTTCAACTATGTAGACAACTCCATAATTCTAGAGAGTTTATATCAGTTCTAGAGTTTCAAGTCTCCAGAATGTTTCAGTGTATCCAAAATTCATTTAAATTGGACAGGTACAGAGAGAACCACTAATGGGACTTTCAGCAATCATTAATTTATCCTTTGGTTTTGGCAGCAAGAACTGACATTTTTGAAAACATTGTGTTTTGTTTTGTTTTTGTTTTTGTTTGTGTGTGTGTGTGTATGTACCAGGGGGTGTATGTGCTCAGTAGAGAGAGAGAGAAAGAGAAGTCAAAAGAATTCCGCCCTTCCCATGGGAAGTGGTCACTCTACAAGTCGTCCTCATCTATCTCTTCCTCCCTCTGGGATTTTGGGCATGCATGCATACATACCAGGTGTATTTCTCAAGCCACCAGGCCCAGGACTCCAACCATGTAGTCGGCCATGTGGGATACACATGCCCCAACCACAGTGCCATGGCTGACCCTCACATTATATTTCAGTATCAGAGACCATTGACTGTAAAAGTCACTATTATTTATTTAAAAATCACTCAGAAAGGAAAACATGCTTCCAATTACATTGTGACACATTATGGATTATGAGACATAGCACAATCTTTTTTTTTTTTTTCAGAGGTTTTTGCTATAGGGCGTGTGAGCTTGCCAGAGAGACAGAGAGATAGGAAGCGAGAAATCACACGCCCCCCCCCCCCCGGGGGGGGGAGAGCGACAACTCTGTTTTCTCTCTCTGGATCTTGGGCATGCACGCACATGCGCCTGGTGTGAGTTTTAAACCACCGGGTCTGGGACGCGAACCGCAGTCGACTACATGGGAGTCCAGCAACATAACCATTACTCTAACTGCTGGTCCCAAAATAGCACAATCTTGAAGATGTTAAGATGTGAGAAAAATGTGTATATTAGAATCAATGGAGTATGAAAATTGAAGGAATATAAAGATGGCATCAGAATTCTGGCCATTTCTCCTGAGATTATATGATTTTGTTAAGTCCTAAGTTTCTTGTGTTTTGACATAAATAGCATATGGGTCATTGCTTATCATAGGCTTGGGGATTCTAAAGTCAAACTGAAGTAACTGGTTATTTCTGCAAGTATCTAGGTTACTATTTTGGGCCAAAAGATGTGACTTTTAAAATTTGACTTTGGAACATTTCCCTCTTGGCATCTTGAGTCTGAAGAAGGTTCTTAAAAGCTGTAGATCCATCCATCCTGCATACTCTTTATATTCTGGGCATCCATCTGTATTCAGTATATTTAATAACTAAGCACTCTCTAAGGCACTATTGTTTTTGGATAGACTCATATGATAATCTGTTGAAAATTACAGAGTTGGCAACTTACATAAATTATTTACATATACTTTCTATAGTTGCAAGTATTTGTTGAAGTTCAAACATTTTTCACATTCAAAGACTGAGAGAATCCTTGAACGCTTGGCTAAGAAGTCCTTTGGTAGCATAATTATTGTGTAACAAAGAGCAGTTCAACTGTTGGTTAGAGAAAATAAGTAGATAAAGTTACATAAAATTTAGAAGTGCTTGTTCTTCATAATATTTTTCAGTAGGTTTTCTTTGTTTCAGTGAATATGTATGATCCTTAATTTACGTTGTTTACTTGATGAAGACCTTGAAAACCAAACCTTGAGAAAGGATTATGAAAAAACCTTTAAAAAGTACCAGGGGCTTGTGGTGAAACAGGAACAGCTATTAAGAGGTATGAATTCTTAAGCAATGAGAAAAGCAACAAAATACTTAAATTTGTTTTGTTCTAATATTTTGTTTTAGTAAAGTTAATAACAGAGTAACTGAAAATTCTATTAATTTTGTATGTTACAACTTCTTCTGTCTTTAGCAAGGGTAGCTCCTGGTTCTATAGATATTTAAAATATACTTACTCAAAGAAGATTTTTTTTTAATCCTATGAGTAACATTTTCAATAATAAGAATCTTGGTCACTCAATCCCTAACTTACTTATGAAGACACTTATTTTCTTGCTTTCCTAAGAAATTGATGTAAAATTTTCCAAAATATTTTTTCTAATAGAAAGTAGCCCTGTTTCCATGGTTTAATGAGAGAAGAAAAACTTCAGTGTTGTGGTTTCTCTGTCACCGATGAAGAGAAAAGTCTTTTGATGGTTAGAATGATATGAGGCTCTTAGTGTATATTCAATTCCTGGTTCGTGCTTGGCTGTCAATCTTTAGGTTAAATCATTGGTCATTTGATTAACCGTGTATCTGGAAATACTTGCTAATTCTTAAAATATTTTCATCTCTTGAGATTTATTAGCACTTTTAACTATGTTGAATTTTTAAATTATTTTAAGTTAGCTTAACCTTTTGGAGAAAATACCATATTTTCTTTCTTTCTTTTTTTTTTTTTTTTGAGAGGTTTTTGCTATAGGGCATGTGCCCTCATCAGACAGACAGAGAGAGACAGAGAGACAGAAAGTGAGAAATCACCCCCCGGGGGGATGGCCACGCTGCAATCCCTTCTCTTCCATTCTCCTCTCGGGATCTTAAGCGCACACACACACACACACACACACACGCGCCCGGTGTGAATTTAAGCCACCGGGTCCGGGACTCGAACCATGGTCGACTACGTGGGAGTCCAGCGACATAGCCATTATGCTAACTGCTGGTTCCAAAAATATCATATTTTCAAAAATTAATTTTAAAGTAGTTTAAAATAGGTATGGGGAGCCAAGATGGCAGCCGAGTTTAGTATGAGTCTGTATTGTGTATGAAGCCGGAAGTCAGCATCTACAGGACTCCGCCGCCAGCTTCCAACCACATTACAGGGCATCTGACTGGAAATTAGACCAGCCTGATGGGAATGGTCACCTCCAAATCACTTCAAAAGGGAAGATCGCCTACATCAAAGTTTCAGGAGAGCTCTTTGCTCAGGCACCAGTAGAACAGTATCCTGGTATTGCTATGGAGACAGTGACAGATTCCAGTGACTACTTTGTAATCTGGATCCAAGATGGTACTGAGCATAGTGCTTTCACTGGCATTGGATTTTCAGATCCGGGAGATGCCTTTTACTTTAATGTTTCCTTGCAAGATCACTTTAAGTGGGTAAAACAGGAATCTGAGATTTCCAAAGAATCTTAGGAGACAGATAATCGTCCCAAGTTGGATCTGGGCTTCAATGAAGGGCAGACCATCAAGTTGAGTATTGGGAATGATACAACAAAGAAAGGAGGTGCTTCTAAGCCCAGGACTGCAGGGACTGGGGGCCTCAGCTTACTCCCACCGCCTCCTGAAGGCAGTCACTATTCCTCCACCATCCTCCTCAGTTGCCATCAGCAATCATGTTACCCCTCCACCCATTCCAAAATCTAACCATGGAGGTAGTGATGAAGATATCCTTTTAGATTTGGATTCTCCTGTTCCTGTGACATCAGCACCAGCTCCAGTCTCTGCACGCAATGACTTGTGGGGAGACTTTAGCATGGTATCCAGCTCTGTTCCAAACCAGGCACCACAGCCATCTGCCTGGGTCCAGTTTTGAATAACATTGGAAGTACATTAAGGACAGACTTGAAAAATGAAACTGACCCAGAGGGCACCAATCTGTGAGGGAAGTTAGGAAACCCTTTCTTCCCCAGCACCAAGTCTTTTTCATAGTTTCTCCATTGCATTCAGGCTGGTTTGTGTCAGTCCTGGTGTGTTGCTCTATAGCCAAGAATGCATCTATTATCCACCGCTCATTACCAGACAGGGAAATAGTGAGTCTCATACTTGCAGCTGATTATGCAGGGCTCAAAAGCCCAGTGTTTATTTGAGGGGAATAACCTCTAACATCCGTAAAATTTTCTCCATCTTTTAAATTCTTTACTTGATGACTTCAGTAAGCTATATAGCCCCAGCTAGGTACTTTATAGTATGTTCATTCTACTCACTGAAGTTTATGCCTGAAGTCAGACTTGGGTTTATGTATAGGTATATATCAGCTGCGCTCGCTACTGGAAATATTTAGAGTAATTAAGTTCATTAGCAAATCAATTAAATGGGGGGGAAAGTCATAGAAAGCAACCATAGATACCAGAGACAATGTGGGAGGAGGGTGGGCCATGGCAGAGGGTGAGGGATAGGGAATCAAGGATGGCAAAACAAAAAAACAAAGTATATAAGACATAAGAATTGGAAAATTATTTGCTGATAACATGTATGTTGATGTGCTTGATTGAGCCAATATGCAGTGTATTTTGGATGGAAAATTCATTTGTACGCTGTAATGATGTATAGTGAATTAATGTAAAAAATAAATAAATTTAAAGAAAAGAAAAAAAAAGAATCATCTCACCACCTTTGTGTCCCTCTTTGTGAAGCCCTATTTAGCCATTTCAGGGGAGATAAAAACCTTGAAACTTCCTTCTCCACTAACCGAAGACTAAAAATGGATAGGCTGACCTCAGTGTTTACAAATTCAGAATTTTGATAGGGGTAAATTTGGAGAAAGAAGTGTTTCCTGTGTCTTTGCTGTGTAGCCTCTTCAGGCTTATCCTGTTAAGCGAACATCCAGTGTGGGGTGCAGCTCTATCACCCTCTTGTGTGTTTACATGTTTCTTCCTATGATGAGAGGGTTGCATTGGTGGCACCTCCACTAATCTGTTTATTGAATAGTGTAGCATCTTTGGCCAGTGGGTATCCCTGGGATAAAGGAGATTCAGAGGGTTGTGTTTTCCAAGTCATATTCTATAGAGATCATTTATTTCTCACAGCCCGATTTCTTGCTGCATTTGAAGCACAGCATTAATTTGTACCCACCCTATGATTTGACCTGACATTGAAGGGCTTAGGGTTCTTAACCTCAACTGTAGAGCAGAGAAGTTGAAAGAACTTCACTCCTATTAAATACCCACATTGCCTTTCTGCCTGGATATTTAGTCTCATTTCATAAATGTTTCTTTTCCAATCCATCTTTGTGTTCAATAATAAGCTACTTACTATATATACTATTTTGTGAAGGAAGTTGGAGAGTCACAGTCTTACCCCTGACAGATTTCTCCCAAAGCTTTGTTACTTCTCAGGCAGGATACCTCAAATTCAATCACTGTCCCACCATTTCCCTGTTCTGCTGCCCTACCATTCTTTTTACAGTGCTGTGAAGAAAGTTCTTTTTCTTAGATGAATGGGTACTATTTATTTGTCCATTAATGGATAATTTTGAGGATAAAATGGGAAGATGTAATTTCTTAACTCCTATTCATGTGTGTGCACTGCAACTGAAGGGAGGCCTTAAATACATTCTCCTGGGACCAGCAGTTGGCATAATGGCTATGTCGCTGGACTCCCATGTAGTTCACCGTGGTTCAAGTCCCGGATCCAGTGGCTTAAACCTCACACCGGGTGTGTGCCCAAGATCCCTAGAGGAGAATGGAGGAGAAGGGATTGCGGCATAGCCATCCTCTCTGGGGGGGGGGGCGGTGATTTCTTGCTTTCTGTCTCTCTGTCTGTCTCTCTCTTTCTGGCAAGCACACACGCCTATAGCAAAAACCTCTCCCCCTGAAACAAAAAATTCTCCTGAATTTCCTTTTTTTTTTTCTAACTTTGGGGTACATTTTCTTTTCTTCTTCTTTTTTTTAAAAATTTTTTTTGTTATTGTCTCCCCTTCCTGGTAGCTCTATTCTTACAGAGCCATGACAGGACATTTTAATATTCTCATAGAAAACACTAAAAGGAAAGTCTGTAGAATTACTATGGAATTCACTAATGGGAACCTGTTTTCTCACTCTTCCTCCATACTGTGTTCTTTGTATTCTCAAGATGATAATATATATTTGAATTGCTGAAAAATTGAAAGTGAAGTTTAAGATATGTATATGAAGTGTGTGCTATATTGGTGCAATAATGGTAATTAAAAATATGGAGGAAAAAAGGTAATAGGTATAAGGCTTGCTGGTGGTACGGTGGTTAAGATGTTAGACTCGCACATGGCTGACCCCAGTTTGAGTCCTGGACCTAGTGGCTTGCTTTCTCACTTTCCCTGTTTCTCCCTCTGTCTCTCTCTGGTGAGTGCATGTGCCTTATAGCAAATTTAATAATAATAATTCGTTAGTTAAATAATTTAAAAAATAAAATTATCCATATGAGCATGTAATCTGAAATGCATCAGATCTGAAGAATGTCAGTTTCAAAACATTTTTGTACTTTCCAAGCACTATTTGTTGAAAAGATTATCTTTTTTATACTAAATTGTCTTATTTCTTTGTCAAAACCATTTACCGTGTGTGCATGTGTGTGTGTGTGTGTGTGCACGCGCACACATTCTTATTTTTGGGCTCTCTATCCTGTTATATTCATCACTTTTATTTATTTTGATGCTGGTAATACAGTGTCTTGATCACTATAGCTTTTCAGAAAATCTTGATATCAGATATTAACCCTCTTAAAAATTTTCCCCCAAAGTTATTTTGACTATTTTGTATCTTATGGTCTTTTGTATTTTTCCATGAATTTTAGAATAAAATTAGCAATTTCTACAAACAAAAAAATTTTCTGAGATTTTGATACAATTGCACTGAATCTATAGATCAATTTGAGTAGTTTTATATCTTAATAGTATTTGGAATTTTAACTACCCCCAAACTGTATACCTCTCAATTTATTTAGACGTCTTAACTTCTCATAGCAGTGCTTTATTATTTTAAGTCTGTAGATCTTTTATAACTTTTGTCGGATTTATTCTTAACTATTCATATTTTT